CCCCCACCGCTCGGAAGGCACGCCCCGTCCCCGTTTCCTTCCTGGGCTGCTCACCTCTATCCACTTGTTGCTCAGGGCCAGAGCCCACCCTGGCCTGCCTGGCTCCGCACGCCATCCCCAACCCACCCGAGAGCTGTGGCTGCCCCCGCGAACAACACCCCTCACTAGCCTACGGCTGGTCGGACCTGTTGCACAGCCCAGGCCGTGCCCAGCCATCTGAGATTTATCACATCGAGTTCGCCCCGACGGGGAGCTTTCATAGTAACCTGCGCTCCTTGCCCACGCTGGAGCTCCTCGGTCAGTGCTGGGCGCGGGGACGTTCATCCTCTTCCTCGGGGCAGCGGCGGGAAGCGTGCGGTGCTACCTGCAATGCAAACTGCAGTGAGCTAATTGCAGCTGCGCAGCAAGGACCCGATGCTGTTGCTCTTGGTGACAACGTCAGCGCTGAGCGTGAACGACACCAGTGCTCTGAATACAGATGCAGCGAGATGCCGGAAATATTTAACCAGTGCTCTTACGTAGCCCCTTAACTGAGAGCGCACTAAACCTTCTCCTAAATACACTTCTTGGCCAGCATCTTCTCGCTCACCGTTTTACATCGCTGGCATTTGGAAAGCAGCCACTCCCACCAGCATTATGGAGACTGGAAAGCTGCATTCGCTCCTCTCTTCTTAAGTTGCTGCAGGATCGATCCTAAGAACGAATCCCCCTTTTGTTTATTACTGAGCCAGTAACAGCCAGCCCTTCCTTTAAAGCCTCTTGCAAACACCATGTTGGTTCCTTACATATTAAAGCCTTTCTCCACCTGCCCACGTAATTTTTCTGCCTCTAGCCAAATGCAAACATTTTTCGTTGCTGTGCAGGCCCTAAATTTGTTGTCTCCAGCAGAAACAGCTTCTATTGACCAACCCATTCCTAGGCCTGGTGCCATGAAACAAAAATCTTGAGGGAGGAATGAGGTGTAACTGAGATGGTCCAAAGACTCCCCAGCTGGGTAGTCCATTTCTTGAGACTGCTAACAAATGACAGCACCTCAAACAACATCAACAATCTCCCTGAGCAGAAACGCCCTCAAACAACCTGGGTTTTGCCAGCAATCCACCTTCCGAGCACTCTTGCCTGGCAAAGGATTTGGTTACAGGATTGAGCTGTAGAAGGGAGGAGGAGGACACATCTACTCTTATGCCACAGGAAATAGAATCGTTTAGGTTGGAAAAGACCCTTAAGATCATCGAGTCCAACCATTAACCTAGCACTGCCAAGTCCACCGCTAAACCATGTCCTTCAG